TCCATAAAAATTTTAATTAGATATTCAAAATGTTATAGATGTATCAGGAATTGCGATATGAAAGAATGATGATTTTGTGAACTTTTATATTAAAGAAAAAAATATTTAAAATATTCAGTTGCATACTAATTAGATATAAACTTATGTATACATGCAACTAATATCGATTCGTTAAGGACACTATTATAATTTAAGAATCACACTATGATTAATTTCTTTAAAGCTTAAACTCCTTCATATTACAATAATACATTTATATATATATTAATTTCACATGTAAGAGAATTGAAATTGTACCTTAACATGCAACACAGCGGTGTCTAGAGGGTGTACATCAGTGAGAATCCTTAAAACTTTCCCATTATTGCTATCCAACATCAAAATATGTCCTCTAACGAAACCAGCTAACACTCTGCTACCATCGTAGTTGAAGCAAAGAGCAGAAACGGAACCTTGATGTCTCGTTTCCTGATCGCACCATCGCAATGTTTGCGAAGAATCAAAGCCCAGTATTAAACCATGACTGGTACCGATTATTAGCATATTCCCTCCAGCTGCGACTGCACTAGCCAAACCAGCATTGACTCTCTCCTGTGTAATCATATAGATATTTAATAATGATGACTATTCCAGGCTTGATTACTATACATACGGCATGTAACAATTGTTAAAAAATTTGTAACTTGAAGGAACATGACTTCTTATATCTCCTATATAATGTATGGAATAATTGCTCACATTAGCCGATATAATTTGTGATGTTATTCCTTTGAGTATGACATGCCTTAAGATAACACCCGAATATGATTTATGAGCAGTCTTAGAGGATTTATTTAATGAATTCAGCGACAAGTGACTGCCAATGCTAGTAGTCTCGCTGCTGCCAAGTTTTTCTCCTAATGATAAACCAATATCGTCCTCCGTTTCCGATAGTGACTCATAATCAGGCTCCATCAAAATACTTTCTAAGGTGGGTAATTCTTCCACGATTGGTATGGCATATTCCGTGTTATCTAACTAGAAGGAAGAATATAGCATGTGAGAGAATATCGTTATTAAAACACAATGTCAGTAGATTATAATTAAACGATATAAGAGCAGGCGAAAAAGATGAATTAAAAAAACAAGCGGCAAATAGCATAGCACGATTTGCTCGACAACGATCGTATTATACATACGTTAGATGTTTTATGAATTTTTAAGTGTTTTACAATATCATTGTACGAGCGCAATTAAGAATATAAATATACCTCCTCGATATCTAAATTAATAGCTTCCGTAACAAGACATTCGTCACTGTCCGGTACAAATTCATTCTCGGCCATCTTATATTATGTTATGTTATCGTAGTCCCGGTAAGAACGGCTGATCTACATATATGTATATTTGACAATTATTTGACACATTTGTTTTCATTCTACGTGTGATGTCACAACCGTACGTTTATAAACACATAGCAGAGAGAAACCTGAGAGAGAATATGCCGGTCCAAAATCTGTAACCTGTAACTAAATCTCTAGATCATACCAAAGTAGCGCATTCCTTTCATTTAAGTCGAAATGCCGACAGTCTTCCTATTGGCTATTTCGACCGTCATTTCGATTTAATTGTCTGTAGTCCAATAAGCGCTTAGTATTAATAGTATAGGGTATGATTAGTAGGTCCAAAATGGAGGACCTTTGCGCTACTTTGGTATCTACAGCTTTACCTGTAACCGCAAAATGTTGCCCCACAAAGTGGATAAGTAGTAAACTACATAGCTCTGATGGTAATACGTCCACTTTTCTGAGAGTAACACGTCCACTTTTCAACTCCAGATGATAAATCGATACTTGGTTCATACTACGATACTTAGTAATCATGTTACATTCACAAATTATGCATCAGAAATTATTCATCTCTGCAATCTTACATGAGCGTGACATTTATTTCGCTTAAAAGTATTAACATTAAGGAAATATTATATTTGTATAAATTATTATATTTATATTTTAAATAAGTTATATATACATATGAATTAAGTTGTATTTTAAGCATTATATTTTTATTAAACACATTTTTATTTACTTTATTTGTTATTATTTTCATATTACAATACTAAAATTCGAAAAACATATAATGACAAAATTAATCTAAACTTTTTTTGTATAAGTACTTTAAATATTTAAAATGCCATTGTAAGTTTCATTGCGACTTCCTCATCTTTCGAGGCAAACCACTCATCAAGCCATTTTCGGACGTCTTTGTAAGAATCGAAGCGCCGCTCAGCGAGCGCGTAGCCCATTGATGAAAACAGGTCAGAAGGTGCCAAGTCTGGTGAGTAAGCGGGAGGGGTAGCACTTCCCAATTGAGTGTCTCCAAGTAGTTTTGGACCATTGTTGACATGTGCGATGGTGTGTTGTCGTGGAGGAAAATCAGCTTGTTATAGCTTTTCCGATGCGGCCTTTTTTCATGCAGAGCATGATGCAATTTGATCAGTTGTTGATGATAGCGGTGAGCATTAACAATTTCACCAGGTTTTAACAGCTCGTAGTAAATGACACCCTCCTGATCCCACCAAACGCACAGCATCGTCTTCCGTCCGAAGCGATTTGGTCTTGAGGAAGATGTTGATGGTTGGGCAGGATCAACCCAAGATTTCTTGCGTTTAGGATTCTGAAAATAGATCCACTTTTCATCGCCTGTCACAATCCGATGCAGGAACGACTTTCTTTTTTGTCTGGCAAGCAGAATTTGGCATGTATTTTGGCGTCGCTCCATCTGCCTATCGTTCAGTTCATGCGACACCCATTTTCCGATCTTTTGAACCTTCCCCATGGCATGTAGCCGCATGGAAATGGCTGCTTGAGAAACACCCAATTGCTCGGCAAGCATTTTTTGCGATTGGGTATCGTCCTCATCCAAAAGAGCCTGCAATTGACAGTCCTCAACCTTCCTGGGCCGATTTTCACGCTTCTTGTCACTCAGGTCAAAATTGTCGTCATTGAACCGGCGAAACTAATCTCTGCATGTTGTTTCCGATAAAGCATTGTCGCCTCCACAAGCATTCGATGCGATTCGGCAGCCGATTTCTTCAAATTGAAACAGAAAAGCAAAGCTTCCCGCATATACTTTTTTTTTAGCAAAAAAACTAGACATAATTAATTACGAAAGAAAAAATGTATGTTGTTGTATGAAATTGCTGATGATGTGCACTGGTTAATGTTGACAGATGTCAAACACAAAAAAAAGTGTGTTATGTGCCCAGGATAGCTTTGTACGCTCACTAATGCCACCTATGAGCAAACAGCGGATTTAAGCTTATACATCTAATAAATAAAAAATTTATTGATCTATTATTTGACAGCCATTTCATTAGTTAAGTTTTATATTTTAAATATGAAATCAAAAGATTGTATAATCTCGAGTTTGGATACAATCAATGCATCACTATTGGATAACATGATAAGGAATTAAATTGCTGAAATCGATTTATCGAAATATTAATTATGTGATCAATGATGTATTTATGCCCAATGTGCACGCAGGAATAAACCCCCCAAACTTTATTGATAAATTTCATATCATCATTTTGTAATCGATTTCAATTGATTCGGAATGGCTTCGAATTGAAAAGAATCAATTAACTTAATTCATGATTAATTTATCAAGGGATTATATTATTAATGTAAATAATATTTAATGTAAATAATGTATTTAATGTAAGTAATGTAATAAGTTAATGTAAATAATATTTGTGATTTATAATATTTGCTCGACAACACACATGCATGCTTTATCCTTGAGAATAAATTTATCATTCAGAATTAATACTACATTGAAATATTTTATGGTTTTATCATAAAATTTATAAAAAATTGCTTTTGGAAAGCACATATCATTAGAAATGCGATTTGTAAAAAAATTAAAGTTAATGAGATATATATAGAAAATAGTTTTTATTTTAGAGTCTTCGTAAGAAATTTATCCAAATACATTAAATTGCAATATTGCTG